CCCTTAATAATTTATAAATTATTATGTTATCTTATCTTACACTGCCCAGCATCTCCCTTCACCCACCCTTCTGTTGCCCATCCCCCAGGGAGGAGGTTATATGTAGATCCTTGTGATCAGTTCCCCTTTTCTACCGCTTACTTGCTTTTCAGAGAAACAACACCTTTGGGTCCATGATCATTTCTCTGCCAATCATTCATGTGAAAGCTAGTCACCTTCGAATTTATTTATTTGCTTTACAAGGGACACAAAAGTCCATGCTGGTCAAAATCCCACAATAGGAAAAAAAATCACGTTGTTGTAACCTGTTTTCTTAGTCCTTTCAAAACACCTGTGTGTCATTTTGTTAAATGGAAAATAAAAGTTTCCTAAAAAAGATGAGGCTTTCTAATCCCATCAACAGTTACAGGGTTGGGAGCTCAAAGGGGCAGTTGTACCATGTCGTATGGGTCACGATGAGTCGGCATCTACTTGCTGATAGTGAGTCTCTATTTTGTTTTTTGGTAAGTCAGCCTATGGGGCTGTTATCAGTCGGGATTGACTCAAAGCAGTGGGACTGATGTATAGAGAGGGGAGTCATCTTGATATGGTGCCTTGGGGGGCTGCTAATTGAAAGGTTGGCAATTTGAATCTGTGAGCTTCTCTATAGGGGAATGATGAGATGGCTTTGGTAAAGCTTTATAGCCTCAGAAACCCTATAGTTATGAGTCATGGTCGACTGCATCAACTCAATGAGCATGAGTCTGAGTTTTTGAGTTTTGCCCCTATCGTTGGGCACTGCTCTGAAGAGAGGCCTTTAATGCTGTGCACGTGGTAAAGACTAGAAGACAGGGGCCTTTAATGCTGTGCACATGGTAAAGACTACCGGTGTCTTTCATTGAAACCCTTTGTTGCGAAAGGGGAATGTTTAAATGCTGTATGGAGGGACTATGTGTTTGCACTTGAACCATGGTCTTGGTGGGATTCTTTTTTTCTTCTTCTTTAGCTATTATTTATTTATGTATTATTAATATTAAACATTGTGGAGAATATTTTGAATTTTAATACTCTATTTCATTTTTCAGAATTTTGAGGATTTTCTAAAATTTTATTTTCAAGATATGCAGTTTCTTTCTTTTTAAAAAAATACTTTTATTGGGGGCTCTTACATCTCTTATCACAATCCATCCATCCATCCAGTGTATCAAGCACATTTGCACATACGCTGCCATCATCATTTTCAAAGCATTCTCTTCCCACTTGAGCCCCTGATATCAGCTCCCCATTTCTTCCCCCTCCCTCCCCCACCCTCCTTGCCTCACAAACCCTTGCTAAGTTATAGATGCTTATTTTTTCTGTTGGAATTCTTGCGGTTAGGTGCATTTACATCAATTGTGACTCTTAGAGACCCAAGGTGACACCGTTGAATTGTCCCTGGGGTTTTCTAGGCTGCAGTCTTGACAGACTCTGCTCACCAGCTCTTTCTGGTGCAGAGCCTCTTGGTGGGGGCCAACCTGCTGGTTACCATCGGAATGCTTAACCATCGAGCCACCTGTGCTCCTTACCATGAATTTAGTATTCCTTTACTAACGAACACGTTATTTCAAGCAGATCCTTCCACAGTGGCCAAAGACCATTGTGGCAGCCTATACTGCTTCATTCTTATTTTTTATAATTAAAAAAATTAATTTTTTACAAATTTATTTTAAAAATCATTTTATTGGGGACTCGTACAACTCTGATAACATTCTACACATCAATTGTATCAATTGTACACATGAGTACATGTGTTGCCATCATTTTTTCCAAAATGTTTTCTACTTGAACCCTATGCTGCTTTATTTTTAAGTGAACCAAGATTTTACATCTATGGAAGATACTTTGTGAGCTGTTGATCAAACTCATTCACTCACCTCCATTGGGCTGGATTTTCTCAATATATTTCTTTGCGTCTGCAACTTGGGTTTTAGTGGCTGAAATCAAATCATTTCTCCAGGTTCGAACGTTGTGGTTGAAATCAACCACAGAGAATTGGTCTTCAGCTCTTAAGTCATCCAATATGGTCTTCATGGCTTCCACAGTCTATTTCAAAAGAGAGTGAAGAATGGACTCATTAAAGCTTCCATCTATAGAGGACACTAGGAAGACCAAGCATTCGGCCTGGTTATTCTTCAGGTTGTGACTCAAACTATCATTCTTCCAGAATGATCTCTCTTGAAGCCACTTCAGTTAACCCAGACCCATCTTTTAATTTTCCTGAACATGTGTTTTTCTGTATGTTGATACTTAACTTTCTAGTGTCCTATGCGATTTCTTACTTGCTGGTGATCTAAAGGAATTCGCAGTGTCTCAGTTACTGCTGTGGTGTCTGATGCAGCTCCATCTACTTGCGAACCGTTCATTGCCTCTCATCTCCTGAAGACTACTCTCTATCAGCTCTCCCCTGTCTGTTGTACATCGTAACTATCCCTCATCTCTTGGGAGATTCCCGGGCATAAAACCCATACTTTTATTTCTCACCTTTTTTTTTGGTATTATTTTTTCCTCCCCCTTTAAAAATCGTGTTTGAGTCTACTTCCCCATTTTCTAGCTTCTCTTTGTAGTAACATTTCTTTAACATGTTATTTTCAAATCTTCTCTTTTTCTCTCGTCTTGCAGAGGAATTTTTCTTTTTTTAATTAAAAGATCAGTTTATTGAGGGATCTTAGAGCTCTTATAATAATCCATACATCAATTGTATGAAGCATATTTGTACATACGTTGCATCATTATTTTCTAGACATTTACTTTCTATTGAGCCCTTGGTATCAGCTCTTCTTTTTTCCTTCCCCACCCCATGACCCCTTGATAAATTATACATTTTTATTATTTTCATATCTTATACCCACTGCTGTCTCCCTTCCCCCACAGTTTCCTTTGTTCGTCCCGCTGGAGGGGAGGTGTGTAGTTATGTGTCAATCATTGCAATTGGTTCCCCCTTCCTCCGCTCCTCTCCCTACCTTCCACCGATGATAGATTTTTCTTGGTAACCCAAATTATTAATATTGGAATGCCTTAAAGTTCAGTTGATGTTCTCTTCTTTACCTATATATACTCTTCGGTGTTCTTACAAATCTCACTGCTTTACGGACCTTCTATGTTTCAGTTCTAGGAAGAAAGGCCTGGTAATCTACTGCTGAAAATCAGCCAATGAAAAACCTATGGATTACAATGGTCAAATCCACAGCCAATCCTGGGGATGGTGTAGGGCTAGGCAACGCTTAGTTCTGTGGTGTCTGGATGGCAGGGAGTCTGAGGCTAACTCTAGGGCAGCCTCGTAGCAACAGCATCTGTTGGGAACGTCTGTGTATCTTCACCCCAGATTGCACCTTTGAACATTCAAATTTTCTAGCCACAGCCTACGTGATAGGTTCACTTGGGTGTTTAATAAACAACAAAGCTTACCATGTCCAAGCAAAAACACTCCTGCTGTTCCCCACAACACTGAATCTTTCCTCTGTCCTGTCTTTTCTCTATCAGCTGATGGCCCACTCCAACCTTCCAGGTGTTCAGGCTAAAAGACTTGGAGCATCTTTGAGTCCTCGCTTCTTCCCTCACCCCATACCTACTCCTTCAAAAATTCTTTTTGGCTCTATCTTCAGGATAAACCCAGAACTCAATACATTCGTACCACACCCTCTACTGTCACCCTGATGCAAGCCATCTGCGTCTATCCCTGGGTTATTATGGTGGCCTCTTGATAGTCCTCTTCACTTTGGCTCTCCCTATCGTCAAATCTGCTCTCAATATAGCAGCTAGACGATGCCCTTTAAAACACAAGGCAGACCCATGCCACTCTTCTCTCCAACCCGGCAATACAATAGAAACAAACCCAAACGAAACACAAACACAAAAAACCTCTCTGCCATTGAGTCGGTTCCAACTCCTGGCAACTTCCCAAGGAGCTGCTGGGGAGTCGAACCTCTGACTGGCCCGGTGTTTACCAGACAGCACCACCCAAGCTCACAGCTTCCTATCACTGTTGTCAACCATGAAGTCGATTCTGACTCGGCACTCCTCTCTGAGCGAGCAGACGTGCCCCTGAGCGTGTTCTAGGGAGCAGTGTTGTGTCACTAGATGGCCTCCACTTGTGTCGCTGTTGAGAACCCTTGAATTGGTGCACAACACAAGGTATGCAAGCTAGCTTCCAGAATTTTTATTTCGCTTGAATCCCTTGTAGATGCTAGGGTACTAGTCAACACTTAGGTGGTCAACATAGTTGTTGAATGAATAGTTGATTGTTTTACTGGATGGCTGGATGGATTAATGAATAAAGAAGTTTTGTGTCTATTGTTCAGAATTAGACACACACACAATTTAACACATTCTGAGTAAGTCTCTGACCTAAACGGAAACTTGGATGAGTGCACAGAATTGGAGGCCATGAGATAGGACAGTCACCCTCAGGGAATTACAGTATAACTAGCAAAGCTATACATCAGACAATGAACAAGTTCCTTATCAGCAGTGGCATGCTATTAAAGTAAAATGTTATGCAAAAGAGCAGACTATGTAGCTGAAGAATCAATAGTGACGAAAAGTGCACAGAGGAATCTTTCCAAGAGGTGAAGTTTTGAGCTAGTTTGGGAAGGAAATAATGGCTGTGGAATGGAAAAGAGAAGAGGAGAGAGTAAGGAGTGAGGAATTCCTACAAGATTGATGTGTGCATCCTGTTCATATACAACAACCCCGAAACTTCACAAACCTAGTAAACCAGTCACGTAGTGAAGGCCCTCCAGGGGAGGAAAGAGGGAAAGGGTGCATTTGGGGGAGAGGAGAAAAGGCAGGGAATCCCACCCACCCCTGCCAAGGAAGGGTGCTTACTTGTTTCATTTTAACTCCCCACATCGAGCCACTGACATCAATGACGAAGAGGATGTTTTTAGGAATTGGTTCCAGGTTTTCAGGAGCAAAGAAGTGAACAAAATATCCGTTAAATACCTGCAAAGCAGAACCGATTTGTGGATGAAATCATTACCGGGGTTTAGAAGGGAAAGAGCCGAGCCTCTGTACAAAAGTACTACATGTACTTACCTTTTCCGGCCCAATGCCCAACTTTCCTCAAATGACTGAGAAATGATTCTGACTGTACACACCACTCTCTTTCTTTTAGGAATTCATCTACACAAGACATCTTTTGGGGTTAGTTTTCCACACAGCAGGCATTTTCCAGCTTAGAAACTGGTGATGCTTCGAAAGCGTCTTTGCAAATTGGCGAGTTGTAAGCCATTTTCTCGGAACCTGCTGTTCATTGGCCTGTTCCCAGCAGAAGGTACAGAACTTCAAGCCTCCCTTCTCATCTGCTGAATGAGGGGAGTAGGGTTTTTCTTAGTTGGCCGATGGCTCCCCAGGCTAGAATTCTTCAGGGGGCTGAACCAGGATGTGCGGTGGAGAACCAGAGAGGATGGGGGCTGAGGGAAATTCTGTGTCTGAGAACTTGGGTTGAGGAGTGGGAGGGGCCCTGGGTTGGGAAATGGGATATGAGCAATGGAGTGCCAGAGGCATAAAGGTCCAAAAGAAGCGAAGGGAGGCATCCTTCCCTTTCTCCCTTTTCTTTCCCATTTCCCCCCATTCCGTTCCTGTGAGGGTCCTTTCCTCCGCAGTTTAACCCCCACCCTTGCTATCTCAGTCCACTTTACCCAGTAGGTGTGGAGGCTCTCTGCTGTATGTGAATCAGGGGTCTCGGCTCTCACGAGCCTCACAGGCCCGTGAAGGACACTGACACGTGGACGGGGCGCTGTAGCTAGGACCAGAAAGCAAAGGACTCTGGGAGACCAGAGGAGGTGCATCTAACTCTCATGGGGAGCCTGCCTAGGCCTCTGACATCTGAACTAGAATCAGCCAGTGTGGAAGTTGGACTAGGGCTGAGGGGGATGCAATAAAAGAGAGTCCCAGATAGTTTGGACTCAGCTGTGAGAGTATACAGTACAGCGGAGGCTCTATCAAAACAAACAAACAAACAAACAAACAGAAAACATCACTGCCATTAATCAATTCTGACTCACACTGACTCAAACTGCCCCAGTGGGTTTCCGAGGTGGTCAATCTTTACAATAACAGAAACCCTCTTTCTCTCCCTCGAAGCAGCAGGTGGATTTGAACTGCTGGCTTCTGGGTTAGCACACCAATGTCTAATCCACTATACCACCAGGCTCCTTGGAGGCTCCATGAGGACCATGGAATTCAAGGTGGAGGGTGTGTTAAGAATTAGAGTTGAAGGACTAGCAGGGCAGATTATGAAGATACTTTATGTACACTGCAGGGTGTTTGGGCTTGTCTTGAATTCGATGGGAACCAATCCCACCTAGACCCCCAGTCACCTCTGTGTTTTCCGCCGCAGGCTTTCACAATTGGTTCACCTCCTTCTCTTACCACAACTCTTTGGTTGCTTCTCCCCAGGGTATCAAAATGCGCAGCCCAGGTTGTGAGCTCCAAGGTGCTCTGCTGCCACCCTGTCCCCGCAGGGAATCGCAGCCTGTTGGGAGCTACAGCAGTGGATCTCCACCTTCCTCCTGCCGCGACCCTTTCATACAGGTCCTCATGTGGTAGTGACTCCCAACCATAAAACTGTTTTCGTTGCTACTTCATCACTGTCATTTTGCGATTGTTATGAATTGTCATGTAACTATCTGATACTCAGGATGCATTTTCATTGTTACAAATTGAACATAATTAAAGCATAGTGATTAATCACAAAACAATATGTCAATTTGTCTTGTGAAATATTTATTTCTAATGATAAATACATGAACTTTTGTCTTGTAGCCTGGTGTAGCATAGGTAACAGTCTTCTCGCCGGGTACTCGTATGTGGGCGTCTCTGCATGTGGGCAGACCCG